TTCTAACAGCAGTAAGTGTGTCCTGTACAATACCCATAACTGGTTTATTAGCTTGTGGTGTAATAATTTGACGCGGTGTTACATGAATATTTTCTACTTCCGCTCGAGTCTCCATCGATTGCGGTACATGCAAATTCATTTCATCTCCGTCAAAATCAGCGTTATATGGTGATGTACAACTAAGATTCATACGGAATGTACTCCATGGTAAAACTTTCACTCTGTGACCCATCATACTCATCTTGTGCAGAGTTGGTTGACGATTGAAAATTACCAGATCACCATCTCTAATATGACGTTCTACTCTATAACCACATTGTAAATGTAGATCGGACGGTTTTGGATGGAACCTTAAATCGATTCTCTCTCCATTATCTCTGACAATATACTTAGCGCCTGGATATTGTGAATTACCACGTCTAACGAGTTCTTGCATTTTATCGATATTAAAAGGCGTTACAATTTCAGGAAATGTTAAATTCTGAGCAATGCTTCGAGGCACACCAACCTGATCGATCCGCAAATTGGGATCAGGAGTAATTACGGTACGAGCAGAGAAGTCGACACGTTTACCCATTAAATTTCCTCTTATCCTACCTTCTTTTCCTTTCAGTCTCGCCTTTATAGCTTTTAACGGTTTACCAGATTTCTGCATAGCTCTTGGCATACCAGGCATATCATTATCAACTAACGTTGCTACATGAAATTGTAACATTTTTATATTTTCCGATATCACGTGTGCTGCTGCTCCAGCTTGTTCATTTCTAATTAATTCATTATTTGCTTTTATAATATCAGCAAGTTTGTGTGTTAAATCATCTTGATTCTTGGCAGAACCATACATAATAACTGCTGGTCTAACTGATAAGGGTGGAACAGGTAAAACAGTTACAACCATCCAATCTGGTCGTGCAAATTTCGGATCCATACCGAGGATAAATGATTCTTCATCTGTAATATGCTTCAAAATTTCCCAGGCCCTTTCTGCAGTGAGTGCCATTTTTTTTTCTTGTGAATCTTCATTTACATGTGTCCATTCAGCAGTTACATCTAAACCAGATCTTCGAAGGTTTGGTTGATATCTACCACATCCACCATGCCCAGGTTTCCTTTCTGTAGATTGTGGTTCCTGATTTTCTTTATTAATGTCCATCTCATCACCACCCTCACAAATGTTTTTACTTTTACATAAATCATAAACAAATGTAAGACGTTTTCGTGGCTGGCCTTTAGTTTTCATAACAATTTCTTTAATTTTTGGATTATGCTGTAATTTAAAAGATAATTTAGAATTAATCACAGAATTATAACTGTGTGAACCAAAATTTAACTAGTATTAGTCTTTACTTACAGGACTAACAAGAAGTTTTGAACAATAAAAACATACACATCTCAAGATTTTTATTGTTTTTGTTATAAAACCAACATGAAAAACTGGTTTTGCTAAATCTATATGACCAAAATGTCCTGGACATTCTGTCATATTACCAGCACAAGTCTGACATCTAGAATTTCTATCAATAACACCTTGTCTAGGGTCCATAAGTCCACCAAGTTTGGGGCGACCACCTTCCATAGTTTCTGGAAATCGAATGCCGCCATCTGTGACTGACATTCGACGCTATACAAAATATTATACATAATTACATATGTTTACATAAATTTCTTGTATGTAAGGAACTACAATAATAATTTTTTAATAAATAATATTAAATAATTTTAGCAATATAATAGAAATTAAATATACAACAAATTTATTCAAAATAGTATAACATCTTAAGTCCTATATTTAGTATATTGTGTAAAACAAATACATATGATACAGGGGTATAATTATTAAAGGAATAGCAGGACAGCAAAAGTAATAAAGGAATCGAACAACTATGTATTTGTCAACATAAACTAACAATATTTCCGTTTATTGTCAAAATTATGTCATTTTACAAAGTATGTAACTTATCCTCAATCTGATCAATTTTATTGTCTACTAATACTTAAATTCATACACTAACATTGGAAAGAAGAATTTTTAAACTTTTCCTTTATTGAAACAATTACCATAATTTAATTTTTAAAAAAAGCTAGTAAATTATACTATAAATGGAATTTAAAATAAACCATAGAATTTGTACGATAAATCACATTTATTGTATATATTTTATAATTTTGAGTTGCATTTCTCTACAAACACAATGATACATCGTGGAAAATCACACGCACAACTGTTCAGAAGTAACATTGAATACTCTGTGTGATAAGGTTTCATACAATATTGACTTATGACGAAATAGTTTTAAATATCACGGAAAAAATATATTTCACAAAATCACTCGATTACAAATAACGAACTTACTATCTCATCGGGAGAAAGAATGCCGAATTGGACCCTTTTTACGGTTCGCAGAGGCGCTTTGGAGTCAGACGTGGCCATTTTGCAACGAGCACGTAGAACTTCTCCCGCAGCCTTCTGCGTCACGACTCCCTCTAACCGTTCTTTCCCGATGGATGCATCACCCTTCCTTAACAATTTCGTGTTGGTACTTTTTTACTTATTTATTTGTGAGTTCCAAAATGCATTACATTTGTACCTTAAGAAACATTTCCATTTTTAATTTTTAATATTAAACACAGATAGTATGACTGTGGATATTTAGTGTCGATTCTTATCTAAATGAATGTTGTTTAATAATGTAAATTAATATTAAGAAATTTATTTAAAAAAAATTGTGGAATTTTTTAATTTTTTAATATAATTAAAATTCTTTTTCAACCTAAAAAATAACTCATAGTCTCTACTAATTTTCTATATGTTATTATAGATTTAATAAATATTCCACAACACTAAAATGATCTTATTGGTTAAAATGTGAAAAATTGTATTTAGAGACGTAGGTGAGTGTGAAGCATTCCATGTTTGCTATCGCCATTGAATAATAAACATTAATGTCCGCTATGTGTTGTTGAATCAATTATTATTGATGCAAATTATAATCTTTATTGACGCGTATGCATTGTTTGTCATAAGCTTAAGTATCAATTCAAAGTGTGTATAACATAAAATAATTAAAAATGGCTACATCCAAAACAACGAATATGTATAATAGACAAAATTGGGAAGATGCTGTAAGTAAAATTAAATGTATAACATGATCATGAAATAAATAAATTTGTGTTTATTTTTTTTCTTTTAGGAATTCCCAATATTATGTCAAACTTGTTTAGGTGACAACCCATATATTCGTATGGTAAGTTAATCTTATGAATATATAAATTAATCTTGATTTTTTTAAAATATATTTTCAACAATTTAAAAAATAAATTGTATTTTCAGACAAAAGAAAGGTATGGAAAAGAATGTAAAATATGTATGCGCCCATTTACAGTATTTAGGTGGTGTCCTGGTGCAAGGATGAGATTTAAAAAGACGGAAGTTTGTCAAACTTGTAGTCGCTTAAAAAATGTTTGTCAAACATGTTTACTTGATTTAGAGTATGGTTTACCAATACAAGTTCGTGATGCAGCACTTAAAATCAAAGATGATTTGCCTAGATCAGATGTAAACAAGGAATATTATGTACAAAATATAGATAGTGAAATTGGTAAAATAGATCCTACATCACCAGCAGGTGCTGTTGGTAAATCTGCAGCTGCTAGTGACTTATTGATGAAACTAGCAAGGACTAGTCCTTATTATAAAAGAAATAGACCGCACATTTGCTCCTTTTGGGTTAAAGGAGAATGTAAAAGAGGAGAAGAATGCCCATACCGTCATGAAAAACCAACTGATCCAGATGATCCATTAGCTGATCAAAATATCAAAGATCGTTATTATGGAGTTAATGATCCTGTTGCTGATAAATTAATGCGCAGAGCTGCTGCTATGCCCAAACTTGATCCACCAGAAGATAAATCTATTACAACTTTATATGTTGGTAATTTAGGAGATGTCTTAACAGAAAAACAGTTACGTGACCATTTCTATCAATATGGTGAAATACGTTCTGTAACTATGGTGCCTCGTCAGCAGTGTGCTTTTATTCAGTACACACAAAGAAGCGCTGCTGAGGCAGCAGCAGAGAGAACGTTTAACAAATTGATATTAGGGGGACGAAGATTAACAATTAAGTGGGGACGTTCACAAGGAAGACAAACAGTATCCGCAGCAGAAGCAACTAGAGAAATCTTGGAACCTGTACCAGGTTTACCTGGTGCTCTACCACCACCACCAGAAAGTATGGGAAATAATTTTTTCAATTTGCAAACTACTCCTGGTATGATGCCTCCAATGATGATTCCACCTCCCCCAGTTGCTCCTCAATTTATGTTCCCACCTCAAATGGCAGCTGCCACTGCAACACCTATTTTTCCTCCTGGAACAACTCCAATACATTACCCAAGTCAAGATCCATCAAGAATGGGTGCATCTCAAGGCATAGGGAAGCCTTGGCCTGAGGAATAATAATAAAGATGTTTACATTTTTATTAATTGTAATTATAACAAAAAAATGTATGCAAAAGTAAATATATGTTTTTGATTTTGTTTAAACTATTCATGCTAAAATAACTTGTATTTTCTTAAATAAGTTACCATTTATGCCTGTACACATAAGTTATATAACTTATAAAGTGATTGAAATTAAACCGCGTAGCTGTTAAAAAACATTACATCATAATGTTTTACTTTCGGATTTTGAATTACATGATTCATTTGAACAGCCTTTACAACAAACAGTTGCCCATTTCAATGAAGACTTTAGGAATGTAATCATAAAGACGCCATCTACTGTGATAGTGGACAAATATTCTTAACAGCTAGCGCGTATTAGCCGCCGCTGTGAGTGTCATCATCGTATTTTAATACGTGTCCACTGGTGCCTGTCCGTCCGGTGTTTCTGCTACGTAAATTTTATTCCGTGAATCTATGGAGTGTTTTTATCATCAGATATCTTTGAATTTCAGTCTGTATTAGCATAAGGCGCCTAGTGCGCCTTCCCGTCACGATGAACATGTGTCGGGCTCGATTGTTATTCCACTTTCTGGCACTTAGCCTACTCCCCTTTGCCTGTTCCGACGAGCATACTCACATAGTAAGTATTTAGAAATGACATATTTTCAAAATGTCAAAATTGCAAGTTTATCGTATACATATCCTTGTTAACTTTACAACATGTACTTTTTATGTTCTCATGCTGCAATTTATTCTTTCGTCATCTTACCAGGGGGGGGTGGATGTATCATTTATTGTAATATGTAAATTTTTATTTACACTGTTTTTTTTGGTAATAGGAGATTCTCACCTATTATCTATTTAAAAATAATACATTACAAAGTTTAATATATATAATATATAATACATGTGTATAATATATATTATAAACACACACACACATATATATATATATAATATGCACATGCATATGATATACACATATAATACACATATGTATATATTATAAATAATACAATATGTATATATTATAAAGTGATATTTAATTGTTCCTTAAAAATTAATGTTTTACTCTCGTGTATTATATATATTAAGTATATTATATTACATATGTTAAAAATATATTAATTAATATATTTTTTGTTATTAGTATGAAGATAATGATGAAGTTGTACTATGGATGAGTACAGTTGGACCATATCATAATCGCCAAGAAACATATTCATATTATTCATTACCTTTTTGTATGGGCATGAAAGATGTTATTAATCATTATCACGAAACATTTTCTGAAGCATTACAAGGAATCGAACTTAAATTTAGTGGTTTGGAAATTGAATTTAAAGGTATTTTAAAGATAAAATATTTATCAGTTTATAGTATTGTTAAATATTTACGTTGAAAATAATAATATATATTTGATTACATAATAGCTGATACTGTAAAGATGGATTATTGTCAGATAAGATTAACAGAAGAAAATGAGAAAGCTTTTATATATGCAGTTAAGAATCAATATTGGTATAAAATGTATATGGACGACCTACCAATATGGGGTAAAATCAATGTTTTACATTTTCTAGTATTTAAGTGTTTTGATATTATATTATTTGATTGATATAATATTCAGGTGTTGTGGGAGAGCCAGAAGAAAATAACGGAATTGTATCTTATTATATTTGGACACACAAGAAATTTGATATAGGATACAATGGAAAGCAAATAGTAGATGTAAATTTGACCAGTGAAAATAAAGTAAAACTACTACGGGATGCAGCTATCTCTTTCAGTTATGAAGTTAACTGGAAGAAAAGTAATATTAAATTTGAAGACAGGTTTGATAAATATTTAGATCCTAACTTCTTCCAACATAGAGTAAGTATCATGTTAGTAAAAAATATGATTTTTAAATTAAAAATTATATATTTATATAAAAAGAATTATTATTCTTTCTTTTTCAGATTCATTGGTTCAGTATTTTTAATAGTTTTTTGATGGTAATCTTTCTTGTTGGATTAGTTTCAATGATTTTAATGCGTACATTAAAGAAAGATTATGCTAGATATAGCAGGGACGAAGAGATGGATGATATGGAAAGAGATTTAGGAGATGAATATGGATGGAAACAAGTTCATGGAGATGTATTTAGACCAGCTAGTCATGCAATGCTTTTCTCAGCTCTTATAGGCGCAGGCTATCAAGTACTTATTTTAATAATTCAAAGTTTATCACACTACTATCAATAATAAACTATTAATAATAATTATACTAATATTACTACTAACTATTATTATTACTAATTAATATTATTATAAATATTGATAACAAACTACACTAATGTTAGCTATAAATTAATGCCCTATTTTAGGTCACTGTGGTTGTACTTAGTGTTATTATTTTTGCTATCCTCGGGGAACTGTACACAGAAAGAGGATCGATGTTATCAACAGCAATTTTTGTATATGCTGCTATGTCTCCTATAAATGGTTATGCTGGAGGAGGTTTATATGCACGTATGGGAGGTCGTATTTGGATCAAACAAATGATTATCAGTGCCTTTATGTTACCTCTTATCGTCTGTGGTACTGCATTCTTCATTAACTTTATTGCAATGTATTATCACGCCAGTCGCGCAATACCATTTGGTTCTATGGTAAGTACTATTCATAATAAATACTTATTTATATGTATATACATATGTTTTCTTCATATACTACCAAGAAAATCTTAATTACAGGTGGCAGTTACGTGTATTTGCATATTTGTTATATTACCACTAACATTAGTGGGGACTGTCTTAGGCCGAAACTTAGCTGGAACACCGGACGCACCATGCAGAGTTAATGCAGTACCTCGACCTATTCCTGAAAAAAAATGGTTTATGGAACCATTGGTTATCATAATGCTTGGCGGTATCCTGCCGTTTGGCTCAATATTCATTGAAATGTATGTTTCAACATTTGTATATATTTAAATTGATGTATTTAAGATTACATTTTATTTTATTTTTTTAGGTACTTCATTTTTACATCATTTTGGGCATATAAAATTTATTACGTTTATGGATTTATGTTACTAGTATTCGTTATTCTAATGATAGTGACTGTTTGTGTTACTATCGTATGTACATATTTTTTGCTAAACGCTGAAGATTATCGATGGTAAGCATTATATCACTGATTAATTGCTTATATTGGTAATTAATACATTTTTTATTTATGTATGTTATTCTATTTCATAGGCAGTGGACAAGTTTCTTAGCGGCAGCTTCAACCGCTGGTTATGTTTACGTATATTCTTTTTATTATTTCTTTTTCAAAACTAAGTAAGTTTATAACATGCTTGACTACAGTATATGTTAATAGAATCAATTTATTAAATATCATTTTCTTTTTCAGAATGTATGGTCTATTTCAGACAGCATTTTATTTTGGTTATATGGCATTATTCAGCCTTGCCTTGGGTATAATGTGCGGAACAGTCGGTTATGTTGGTACTAACGTATTTGTACGAAAAATCTATTCTACAGTTAAAATAGACTAAAGCACAATTCTAGTGTAATGTCTACAATCGTGAATTAAATTAAGGATATACAGAGTGAAATCTGCCAGTTTCTGTAATGTAGGACTCTCTTTTTTGGATAATTTAAATTATTTACATTATTCATTATAGCGCGCAAATTCATAATTCATAAATTCATAAAAAGACTAATTGCAATGAAATATAACGTAAATATTTAAAAAGAAATATGTATTTGTTTTATCGTTATATCTTCCCAAAGTATTCATTGAATATTACATTTTACATCTGTTGATGTAATATTATATTTTAATTATAAAAAAAAAAAAAAGAAAAAAAAATAGAAAAGAGAAAGAATTTATTCATTGCAACTTAATTGAAAATGAGTCCTACGGTGGACATTTCACATCTGTGAAACAAATAGTTCACCAATAATTTAATCATATATATTATTCATTTCATGAATCACAATTCGGTATTATACAAAACAATGGCTTCAAGAATTATATAATTTTAGAATTAATATTTTATTCTTAAGCAACTTATAAAACAACCAATTCTTTAACGTTGCTCAATTTTGATAGATTTTATGGGAAACTTGCTGATTATTCATTCTGTTCGGATTTATAGAAAGCTATATAAATTTAAAAATATTAAAATATTTCAATATTTTTCCTGAGTCAGCAAACATAAATGTCTAAATTTTTTGTCAAAAATATGAATATTCCGAAATATCAAAAAATGTCAGTAATTATAACTACAAAATGTAAAAAGTTAAAACTGAAACAAAAAGTACAGATTATTACGTATAAATGTACAGTATGAATTTCCGATACAATTTATTCATAATGTAAAGAATATACTTCAGTTAATTATTACAAATTTTGCTGTGCCACAATTATGTGACTCGGAATTGAAATTTTAGTCATATAATGCTTAATTACCGATGATTCGAGTAACGTTAATTTATAGTTAAACTAAGAGATAGATCAAAGTAAGAATGTGAATAAGAAATTTTTTTACCATTGGCTATGTATTACATGTCACAATGTTTTCTTTGATGTGGATACTTTATATTATAGATTATGAATGCATTTGTAAAATGTAAAATATTGTGAATCTATAACCAGTGGTAAAATAATTTTTTCAATTATGATCCTCGTCACGCGGCTAAATATCTAATTATACATTTAAACGCTGCTGGAAAGAAATATTGTTAAATAAAGCGAAGGGGATTGGAATTTGGAAATCGCAGTGAATGTGTTTATCCTAACGTGATGCATTGTCGAACGATGAATATCTGTGAGAATATTTGAATGGACATAACAATTTGTTGTTAGACGTAGCAGTTCTACAAAATATAAAATTTCTACATACAATAAAAATCTACTTTTATTCATACACAGATCAGTTTTTGTTTAAGTTATAGCTAACTTCATTGTGCAAGAGTACTTTTAGTATGTTTTTAGTAAATACAAGATTAACGTTAAAGTTTAAATGCAAATGTCATTGTTTCCCAACTAAATATCCCGATCCAAATAATTATTTTATCTAAATGTAACATTCTTCTAAAACACTGACTTATTTTTAAAATATGGAACATATTTTTATATTTAAAAATAAATAAAATAAGATTCAGAGAACCGTATCTGTATTTAAAAGTACTACATTATTCAAAAATATTTTATATAAAATATTTACGTGAGGTTGAATATATATTAGAAATATATTAATAATGAAACAAAGAATATAATAATATGGTAATCTATATATGTTATTGAAAGAAATAAAATATTCCGAAGAATATATTTGTTAAATTGATTCTGCTGGTGCCAGTGTGGCACTAAAAGCTGCTCCGTCGTACACTCTGTGGTATTCACGTGTCAAAGCGCACACGTCGACGCAGTTGGATTGTCGGAGCATAGTGTACACACCTGTTTATTGCTCCGAAAACTTTACATACTTTATTATACGTACAGTGACTGAAATAATATTTAAATTATTTATTATTTTATTTCAAGTTTTACCGAAGTAATTTTGGTAAACAAAAAACAATAAAAATGGCACCAAAACAAAGAATGCGTATTGCTAACGAAAGAGCCACAAAAAATATCACACTACGTGGAAATGTTCCCAAGTCATCGGTATGCTATATTTTATTATTCAATAAAATTTATTTAAAACATTATTAATAAAGTAAAATAATTACAATTATATAAAAATAAACAATAGTTAATTTTTGAGGTTATGAACTCTTATGACATTTGTGATAACATTGCTACTTCAAGTTCTATTTTCTGTTATGTATACTTTTGAAGTGACAAAACTTCAAAAAATATTTATGATTTTTTATTTTATAATAATAGTAGAAACAGCAAGTTAACAAACAGATTAATAATTGTAGCCTGTGTAAAATGAATGTTTGTAACAATATCAAAATTAATTATTTAAATAATTTATGTTTTTATTAGAGTGAATACAAACGATAAAATTATGTAAATTTATTTGTTTTGGTAATTGTATCAAATTAGTAACTATATTTAATAATGATGTTGTAAGATATAATGGCATATAATAATAATTATATTATAGAAACCACAAGATGATGGATCACCAGTTGGACCTTGTCTTTTAGCACTCTTTCTCTTTGTTGTATGTGGTTCTGGTAAGTTTTATATTGTTACTTGAATATATATTTTTTAATCAACATGTAATATAAAAAAAATATTTCTTGTTGTAAATTAAAATTTTCTAATTTCCAGCTGTATTCCAAATAATTCAGAGTATTAGAATGGCTTAGGAAAACCAAAAGCATAAAGTTAAAAAGATGTTGCTGTTGCTGTTAATATGAAAAAAAAGTCTACATTTTATTGGTACACAAGCGAGATCAACAGACTGTTTTATTGTATATTATGAAAACATGTAGGCATCACAATGATATTGACACAAAACTGAACTCATATTTCCACTAAATAATCTCCTTCTTTTGCTACAACTCAAAGGAATTATTTATAAAAAGAATTTAGCATTTATAAATATTTTACTTAATTGTATATGTATCAATGAAAGAATATTGTATTTAATATATTTTATTTATATTGCATAAAGTGTTACATAGTAAATATGATTTCTTTTTGTTTTGTAGCTTAACATGGCATTCTTTATTCTCAATCTTATAAAAAACTTAAATTCTTTCATTGATACCTATACATAGTAAATAATTGTATATACATATGATCAATTTATTGTAACAATTCATTAATCAAAGCATTCCACTGTAAGCAGTTGGTAGCTTTTGGTTGTCTATATATTTTAGAGGCCTTAAGAGACATAATAAGTCATTACATGTGTAAAAATATATATTATATATATTGTCAATGTAATTTATCCTAATGAAAGATTTGCTATGGACAATTCTTTGTTTCTTTTAATAAATTATATTATGAATAAACATTCTCTTGCATAAGCGAGATAATTTATATTTATCTTATGATCCTTATGTGAAAAATTTAATGGAAACATCTATATTTGAATTTATTATGTGCAAACATAATAAACATAAGTAATAGATATGTATAATAGTAATAAAACACTACTTACTAAGAATTTTATTTTATACCCAAAAGATTTTAGTAATTTAAGATTTCAGTATGACCAATTTTCCCTAGCTTTGCTTAGAGATTGTTATTTAAATTAAACGGAAAGTTCACGAGAACGAATTTAGAAAGATTTTTTGAAGACGAATTCGGAAGCATTAATAATTTATTTTCTTTACATACAAAATATTGTTTTGATCATTTTAACTTTGTTTTTCATATAAATTTTTATATATGGCTAACATATTTAATTTGTTTGGTGAAAAATCGGAACTTCACAAAGGTAAGTTCAAAAATACATGGAGGTTAATATTTACATTTTATTTTTCTTTTCAATAATTATTATTTTAAATTAGTGTTTTATTTCTTCGATGTATATTTATTAATAATGGAAAAACTCCAGGTCCGATTATAAAACCTTTAGCACAATCAGAAACAACTGCTAACATAAATGGAGCTTCTTTGAAAAGTATTAATCGGTTAAAATCAAAAGGATTATCAATTAGATCTCGCTCTGATTTAAATGTACCTCCTATTATACAGGGCACTCCTAATAAACAACAAGAATTACTAAAGCCAAAATTATTACATTTAAACAATAATGGCAAATTAACATCACCCAAAAAGGACCTTTCATTCAAGGTATAAATTATTTAAAAATTCTGTAAATGAAGTATAATTTCGTTTTAATTTCTTTATAGAAACTAATTGAATCTTCTAATAAAATAAGAGGAACATCACCAAACAGAATACTTAATACAAAAAATATAAGATTACCAGAATCATATGATGAAAGTATTTTTAAAAAACCATTACCTTTAAAAAGTCACATTAAGAAAAACTATCCAAAACCAGAGAGTCTAGCACCATATTGTGATATGCAATCTGAATTTGGTATGATATATTAATTTAAAAACATTTGATTTTAAAAGTAATTTAGAAAATAATTATATTTAAACAATATTTCTACAGATAACATTTATACAAAAGTCATAGAAAATGAATTTAAAGAATTACTTCTAAAAAAGAGAAATGACATAATGCTCTATAAAGATGAAGGATTTGAATCAGGTATTAAACTTAAACTATACATTTTTAATTAAAAAATAAATTTTAGATTATCTATTTTATGTTTGAAACTCTTTGTGTAGATCCAGAATTCATTGAGTTCGAAATACCAAAATTACATATATCATCCAAATTATTTAATGAAAAATGGATACAACATAAAATTCCTGATTTACCAAAATTATCAGATGAAGAAGACAATTTTTAAATATAAGGATGTAATAATTATTTAGCTTAAAATTCTGTTTAAGTTTTTTATTAATCTTTAAATAAGATAACTTTAAAATACAGTATTATGTTATAATACATTATATAATTTATTTTACATAAATATAAGTTATAAAGGATTAATCTAATAAAATATTTTGGTGCATTATGCTTTTTTTATATATAATTAAATTATTTTTTATAACAATTATGCAGCTATGTTATTAAAATGTTTCTATACAAATTTTCATAAAAATACCAATTAAATGTTTTTCAATTGTTAATAATACAAAATGACAACAGATAGATGTTTGACTGTAATAGCTGGTATCTTAGAAGATTATAGTTTTAATTACATATGTTTTATCGCTGATAGTTTATCTACAATATTACCAAATTTTCATTATAAAAGTATTAGTAAAAGTTCTACAAAATGGGAAGTAAGTTAACGTTAATTTATTCACAAACAATTTGTTATTTAAAGCTTTTTTAGACTTGGTTAAAAGAAACTTGTGAACTCTATGGATGGACTCACTCCAAATCTCCATTAGTATGGAGGGAAATTGGACTTAGTCGAACTCACGTAAATTATATTGGGGGTAATTACCAATTTTGGGAATTGTTGCATAAATACTATAATATTACATCATATTTGAATAATGAAGAACTTAATGCATTACAAGCGGACTTATTATTTGTATGGAAACGTTTTAAAAATTTCGTAAATTATAATTTTTTAAATTTAATTTTCGTACCTAAATTTATTAAATTTATTTAATAAAGGCTCACAATGTAAAAAAACAAAAAATCAAGTCTTTACAAATACAAGAAAAATTTCGTCGAATAATGATAATAGGAGCAGGGAGGTCAATGTGTCTAGACCTAGTTCCCCAGTTGTTAATGACAAAAGAACTCTGGACAACTCATGGAATTATTATTAATTTATATGACCAACCAGGATGTTTCTTTAAACTTAGGAGAATTTTTAGAGATGCAGGAACAATAGGTGCTGGTTTAAATACAGTAAATATTATGGAAAATATTCCTGATGGATTAAAAGACTGTGATATATTAATTTATCTTGATAGTTTTGTGCGGTAAATCTATTAATATTGATTATATTCATTACTATTATAAAATATTTGTTAATATTTACATATATACCTTTTAGAGAAGAGTATGAAGGAACAGATAGCTGGCTGAAACGAAATTATAAAATGATAGAAAATTTATCTATGCAAATAAACGAATATGCACCTTCACATATGAAAATAATTTTTTGTTCAATGAGTATTCCATGTTTTTATGCAAATGTCATGCATGAACTTGTAACAAAATTATCAAATACAAACATTGTAGTTGCTAGTGCTCATTATGGTTTAGAACTTATATATACAGTTGTAAATTCTCTGGGCCTTACTCAACAAAATTTTGGTTGTCCACCTGTTTGGGGCTTTTTGGGTTGATATATTAGAAAAGTATAGTATATTCTCAGTATTACCAGTATATATACTAATCAGGTAAATTTAATTATAGGAATCAATCACTTTGTAGACATTCATCATATGATTCAAATGTACAATATGTACCACCCAAATAAAAGAGCTCTTAATTTAAATAAAAATATAGTACTACCATTTGGAGTTCAACATTCAGAATTAAGATGGTTTTTTTATATGGCACATGATAAAAATCCTTATAAAGATCACTTCAAACGTAAGGTATAAATTTTGTTGCTTTCTTCTAGATAACATAAAAAAATACAAATTTCTTTAGGCACTTGTTCGATATCAAGTAGGCAGATCAGAAGATTTCCCAAAATGCAGAGCAATTTGTGATCTTCTGAAATTATGGTACAGCAAGAAAGAAAGCATTGGAGATGAAATTATATCATTGGGAGTTGCATCTAATGGTAATATAAGAGTAGTAAGAACATTGTAAAACAAGAAAATTAACAAATATTTTAATTTACTAGGCTGTTTTGGTATTCCAAAAGGATTAGTATTTTCACAACCAGTATATTTAAAACAATGTGAAGATGGCTCACGAATATGGATCCCTTTCAAAGATTTTCCAATGCCAAACATGCCAATTTCTATATTTCAAAATTTTATAGACACTGCTATTAATATTAAAGAAAAAATAATTAAATTAAGGAATAATTCTAATTTGACAAAGAATTAAATTTTTAATTATTTCTATGATTTATGACTTCATCATTTTACATTCATTGAACAAGTCCGTTTATTTTTAATCAGAAAGTTCATAATTTTATTGTATTATGTAGTATACATAAATAGCTAAATTATTCAAATTTAACATATGTATTCAAGTTAATTGTTATAATATACATATATAATCATTAAAATTGCACGTTCTTTTATAACCGATGCTTCCATCAACCAAGCTTGATAACTGGTGTTTAACATCAGATTAGTTCAAATAAAAAATATTGATGAGTTGCATATCAGTGATTTATAACAAACTATAAATGACGATCAAATACTAAAACTAAACTTAATAAATATGAATATCTTTACAATGTTGTTAATAAATCATAAAAAGAATAGTTTCTTAACATAGATTTATTACCTAGTAAATACAATTGAATAAATTAGGTAAGAAAAGTGACTATTGATCAATTAAAAAAAATTATTGTATTTTTTATCATGACATTTCATGAAAAGTTACGGGAATAATACTTTTTGCCATACTTAATAATGTACTTGAATTTAATGTTACAATTTCCTTGTATACAGAAAATGATATAACAAATTGTTACCAGCTTAAATCTATCATTAACAACTGGTACTCCATACCATTTTATACCTAATCGACAGTTCTTTATACAGGATGTTATGTCACAATGGTAGACAAATGTATAATGCATTTCGTATTATCGTGTAATTGCTTTACCTTTGCTATTCAAATTTTATGGTTTTTAGAAAATGTCCAACACGTTACATCAATGCAGAAGGAATGAAAATGTGTAAAAAAAATTAAAATTCTATTAAAGGATGTAATTTTATATATGCATTGTGGAGAAAACTGTATACTAGAGATTTAAAAATTAAAAGTAAAATATAGATATTAAAATTTTCTGGGGAACTTGAAGAAAATTTCTTTAGAAATTTGTATAACTTTTATATAATTTCTTTTTGTCTATTGCAAATTGATAAAAAATATTGTGCTGTGAATTTTATAATTTTTTCTTTTTTTTTAACTGACGATTTTCGATTCCCATAAACAAAAAATGAGTGTTCTGATTGCACACCATTATAATAGATATATTAAAAACTGCGTTCTGACACAAGAAATCTTTGATAATTTCAAAATTATGCTACAAAATTCATAAACATGACATATGACAAATTTTTTAGGCAGTTTTTGCTCGAATAGCAGCACGCTTCCCAGTAACGGCCTAAAATAAATAATCGTTAATTAAAATAATTCTTAAAGCAATTAATATTTAAATAATTATAAATATTGGAATTAAATATAATTACCTGGAAACCAGATTTTATGCTAGCTACTGAACATCTTGAACCACAAGTTTCACACTGTAAGAAAAATAGTCGAGTATCTTTTTGAAGAATGGTGTCTGGAGAACGACAAGTGTGGCAGGTAACATATTCCTTTATGTATCTCCTAAGAACATTTTCTATTTGTTTCTGTTGGAAACGACCCTTAATGATAAGTTGACTATTTCCATCAACAGAACCACTAGTTCCTAATTCAGCGAGTAAAAAGTCAAGTAAATGTTTTGGTTGCCTATGAAGTGTTTTGCATATCTGCAATTAAAAATCATAAAATAAAAATTAAAAAAAAGAATAATCACTAATTTAATAAATTAAATAAATAAATTTTACTATAAAACTAACCTCTGTAAAATTAGCAAAAGATGTTTTCTTGGTTCCTATACGTACTACTTGAGGAGGACGCATGACAAACTTTTGTTTTTTACCAGCAACCATATCCGGATTCTTTTCTCTCATAATATTAAATACTCTTATCAGTAATTCATCATATGTATAATCTCTATCCGATCCAACCCAACTTGTTTCTTCTATTAAAAAATATAACACTTATCATTTAAGTATTGATAAAGGTAGCCATACAATTAGATAGTAATGTACGGGATCCTGATGCTCGAGACAAGACCGGATCCTGAATATTTTTTGAAATTTTTGATATTTTCAGGAACCTGAGATGCCATCCCTATTTCGGAAAAAATTCCCATTCTGTTCCGACCCAACATTTTCGGGATCCCGCACATCTCTACAATCAAGTGTAGCAACAAAAGATTTAATTATAGTTTTATGTCTGATTTCATTGATTAAATTATATTTTTTCTTTTCCAAATAAAATTTCAGTTAACATGTATTTCTTCTTACTTCTGCAGTTAATCAGTATAATTGGTAATTTGCTTTAGTGATTTCATTAGTGAAATTAGACATACATATAGAAAAAGTATGAAATATTGATTAATTATATAATAGCAGCCACATCCAGCTTTTAAAGAGAACAAAAACATTACTTTAATAAATATAATTAATTCCTTATCACATTATAATTAGAAAAATTGTTCCCATAACTGAATGAAACTACCAAATAATAGTTTGACAGAAAACAAGTTGCAGGCACGATTTCTTGGGCACTTTGTTTCCTGTTATTTATAATGTAAATAGAAATATTCTAATTCAATATGTAATATACCTTAAATTTATCATTTTTACATTGATCATCAATTAAATTGATCAAAGTAATTTTTTATAAAATATAGAAATAACGTTCATATGTTATCTTAGAATGAGATTTATGTAAGTGCAGAAAAGGTATATGATTTGTGATTATTATATGTGAATTATATATATATATATGTATATATATATATATACACATATATATATAGAAAACAGCAAACATATCCCTTACCGTACTCTGCACTTCGCTCAGATTCAGTGCAGCATGTTAACAAATAATGAGTAACATAAACAACTAGTTACTCCAAACTATGATACTCTTGTAATCTATAATATTTACCATTTTCTTTATCTTCAATTTCCTTACGTTCTTCCTCTGCTACTAATTCATCGAGATCTTTTTTTTTCTTTTTCTTCTTTTTAGTTTTCGAGAAATCCATATCTAAATCAAAGGTATCGTCCACAGCAATTTCTTCTGTTTGTTGTTCAACAACATCCTTTTCAAATAATATATAAATACAAATATAATGTTATCATTGCATATGATAATTCCATATACAACTATTTACCTCTTTTTTTGTATCAGGCAATGCTGCATCAAGTTCATCTAAATTAAATGCTTTTTTCTTCTTCTTTTTCTTTCTCCCAAAATTTTCTAAATCTAATGTTTCATCATCTTCAGTTGGTGCAGGCGGGTCTGGCTCTTGATTCTCTTTGTCACCAGTAATTTCCATTACATCTCCAATGTTAGAACCTTCATTAAATGCTGCATCAAGATCAAAAGTGGTTTTCTTCTTTTTCTTTTTCTTTTTCAAAGTAGGATCAAATACCTACAAATATTTTTAATTATTTGTTAAATTTATAAATATTGTGTAAAATTTAATATTTCAATATTTTACATATTATATGTACAAAATATAATAATTTTATTAATAAAGTAAAATACAGATATTAATTTTTCCAAATAAAGATATACTGATGATCATTTTAACATAAAAATTTAATAATAAAATTAGGTAAATATTAAATATATTTTGCAATATTTTAAACATTAAATATTATACTATAATAATTTAGGAAGATTAATAAATATAAAATACTATAATATATTATAGTAAACATCAAATATGTATAGTAACAGAGATAATGGAATATCTGTCAAGAGATATTATACTCATGATAAAGGTACATTCTTTCGAAACTATCCACATGGCTTTGAGGTTGGAATTTATAAAGTAGCGTTACTTTTATTTTATAAATGTTTCATTAGAAAATATTATTTTTATATGGGTTTAAATTTTATTTCTTTATTCATAGACATTAACATAATATCAAAAAATCAAAAAGTATGTCAAGATGTTCATGCTCCCATGCTTTTCCAATGCGACACAGATTCTTTCCTACAAATACTCTTTTAATATTATTACATACCGAGTCTTCCTCAGTCATTTTGAAAATTGCTCTAAATACTTTGGTGTCCTCGATAAACTTATTAATTTGCTTCGTTTTTAAATACAAATCATCATCTTAATCACGCGGATCCCAATCCTATCCTACTACCTATACAGTGCATTCACGTCTTGTTAACGAATATTGCATCAGAAATTTCGACTTTTAAGTGCAAAGTGTAATTCACACCTCCAAATTTTCCACACGAACTAGTAATTCGTTGTGCACTTTGACAAAGCTTTCTATTGGTCAATTTTATAACACTGACCAATGAGGAAAGACTACTTAAGTTACAATTTTATACACAGTACTCGATTTTATACACTTCTAAGTATATTTATGTACTTTTTAAGTTGATATTGTTTTTATCAAAAATTAAATAAAATGATTTAAAAGTTTTTAATATCTTACTATCAGTCCGTATAATTTTTTATGAATTTGAATATAATTTTTATATAAAAAATTAAATAATAGATGAAACAAAATTAATGTTTTTATCAGTAAAAAATATTTCACTTTGTCAGATAATTATTTGAATGAATTTAATCTATCGTTATCTTCTGTACTTCATATATGCATTTAGGTACTCAACAGCATACACACGCATACGCATCATATACAAATCATACATATATAACAAAAGTACAGGTTATAGATTGGATGGTAGCGATCAGTAGTTTCAGTCTATATTGTAATTCGTACAACCATCAGTGATCGTTAGTTTAAGTGTTGTTATAATGAATTTAAAACCAATATCTTCTTTGCAATTAAATTTGCTATGAGTATATGTTAACTTTGATAAAGGGAAAATTTTATTACACAAATATTTATATTGCCGGTAATTCTATAGTAGTATTGAATTGAAAATATACAATATACATTAAATGTTTCGTTTAATTCCGTAATGTTAAAGAAAAGGTTCTGTTGCAACCAGAAATTGACAATAAACAAAATGTCATATCGAGTATCGATTGTCAATGTATTCAAGAAAAATTAATATGATCGATATTAAAAGTTGCAAAAGGAAAGTTCAATGTGAAAGGTTGTTTGTGCCTAAAGGAATATTTAACTCAATTGAGAAAATAATACAAAAAATCTTCTACAAGAAATGAACAGAATAGTGATATTATAGTGAAAATCTTAAAACGTGTTTCGTGCTGTAATTTGTCAACTGCCTAAATAACCAGAAGTACGTATTAAAGTAAATTTTTAACATTTTTCAATGTTTTGTTCATTATTCGACTTTGTTTAAAATACGTGTTTCTTTTTCATGTTATAAATTTCTAAATATTTTGTCAATTATAAATTCATAAAATATCTTAATATATATATATATATGATAATGGATTACAAGGTAATACTGCAATGCGAATTTTATTAGGAAAATAAATTAGTTGTAAGAAATTTAAAGATTTTGATAAATAAAAATGTAGATAAATATACAAATTTATATGCTTCTATAATTGTATTAAAAATTATTAATAGTTGTTTTAGTCAATGAATTAAAATGGTAGCTTGAATTGTTTATAATTTCTGTCCGAATATGCAAACATACTTTGTGGCATATTATAAATATGATTCTCTATATCTATTCAAAAAATGTGTAACACATATACACATGTAGTTAACCTTGAATTGTTTCACAGAACTTTTATTGATCATATTTATCTATGAAATATAATACAAAATCATATAAATAATTGAAAAAGAATAAGATATTTTAGAAAAAATTTGTAAAATTATAATTTACATATTTAAAAACGTTTGATATTGCAGAAAAAGTATGCATGAAGTTTTTTATGATTTAGTTGCAACTTTGTATATACATAATGCAAGTACGAGATCGATAATTTGCGCGCAATAACTAGTAATTTCAAAGTACTTTGTACCCTGTAATGTAAAGATTACCATTGTGATCTTGCATAATGTTGTTTTACTATAAATTTGTTAAACATAAAAACATAAAATTCTTTTCTTATAAAATCATAAAATGATAAATAAAATACTATTGAACTTTTCCAGAATAATTTACGTAACAAAAATTTAAACAATATAGAAATTAATTTGTGCTATATAATTATATACTATGTTGAAAAATATTTGAACATGAAAACAAAGAAAGCAGATTAGATAGAATACTTATCAGAAACTATCAGTGTCCTTATCTTTTCTTATAGTTTTATTGCATCTTATTAAGGACCAATTTTTCTTGAAAATTCACTCAATTGTAGGTCAGAAAAAGAGGCGTATGTTGATCGTAATATATTAAGAATCATAATTTTCACGTATCTGTCATTACTGCATGCGTGACGACAGATAGAATAAACGTTTATTTGCTTTCATATACGCTATTAAGAACGTAGAAAACCAGAAAAGATATTTAGTTTACTTGTTCTCGCATAATTCGAAATACCCATGTGAATTATGATATTCACTATAGTCGCGAACTATAGTTTACTATAGTTCACTAGAATGACACTTAATTGATTTAAATATAGTGAAACTTCGTATAAAAAATTAATACTATGTAATTTCGTTAAAAATAATAGTAGCAGACAAATGAATTTAGTCAGAATTTGTACTGTATTCATAATGAAGAGGAGGCAACAAAACCATTAATATGTGATTCCTTTCTAATTCTGTCGTATGATGTAAGTGCGACTTTATCTAAAAAATTATTAAGCTTATTTACGGTACGGTTCTCATTTACTTTTCCATTGAGTTTATTTTCAAATATATTTTTATTATTTTCAAGTAATTTTGTTATTATTAATGTATTATATTATAATTATTAATGTATTAATATAAATAACAAATTGAAATATAATACGAATCATCTAGTAATAATGTAGTAATAATATCATATATATATATTTTATTGTTATCATAGGGGAAAAAAGTAAAAACCATATTAGTGGTTCAAATTAGCTCAGTTTATTAAGTAATGATCTAGTAATATAATGACTTAAATTTGAGATTAAAAAATTTCAAATTTAAATCCTGAATTGATGCATAAACTTGAACAATTAGATAAATTATTTTTTTTTGTATAAATATTCATAAAATTAAGTAAGCGAATGAATGAGGAAAATATTACTAGAGATTATATGAGAGATTTGTCGATAAAATTACAGAAAGATGACAACGCACAAACAGATTTCTACATCGTGTGAGGATGATCTCAATGTTTTCGGCAATGAGAAAAAAGCGACAGAGGATACAGAGGAAGAAACAGAGATGAAAAGGCCGAAGTGTAGGCTCGACGCGAACGGTCGGCTAAATCTCAAAGATATTCTACTGTCTTTTAATGGACCGGTTAGCCAAGAGCAAGCATGGGCTTTATGTTATCAAACGGCCAAGAGTTTGTCACGTTTATCAGAGAACAATTTTTATGAACTCTCGGAGTTATCGCAGATCGTCCTTCACAAGGATGGTGATGTTTGGCTTGGAGATCTAATCAGTAAGTTGATTTAATCTTTCTTTCAAAGAAAGCTTATTTTCTATCGTGGAATATCTTATCGATGTATTGTTTTATAGTCAATTTGAGTAGGGCGCAATTATTTCATAATTTTGTATTATAATGTGGTATAGTATATAATTGTTTTAAATGTGTAATTTTAGTAAATAATTTTTTTTATAATGTGTATCTTTTCGTTCTATAATATTATTTGTATACTTATATAATATATTCAACAACAGTATGTAAGTATAAAAATTAGTTATGTTAGTGTAACACATTGGAATATGGTATAGTTTACTAGTAGTGGGTAAGTAAATTATTTGGTATACAGTTACAAATGCTTATAATGCGAAATTTTTACGTATAACATAGTTTTTTAAAGTCGATAAATTACGCACGGTATTTGGTTGGCGGTGGCATGACTGGGAACACTCGTTCCATGAGGTTTGTACAGTTGATTAATAATTAAATATGTCTGTGACAAGATTTTTCGATAAGACTAATACTATAACTGGTTGATTATCCAAGAAAAGTTGTTGAACTTTGTATAAAAGCAATTGCTTTACATGCAAGATGAATTTCTCATTATTGTTACAAATTATTCGATAATTTTTGAATTTATTTTTTATTTGTATTTATGCTTTTGTTGCAGAATCGGAGAAACCCCGTGTATCCGAAAAAAAGGTAAGCATTTGATTTGAAGACATATTTTTGACAAAAGTCTTTATATTATTTTATAAAAAAAGATATTTTTTCGTTTGTCCAGGCAATGTTTTCGTTAGGCATGATGATATTTAAAGCGCTCGATTTCGGCCTAGATGAACAAGAAGAAAGGCCTTTATCACCGGATCTAGAAGCCCTTATAACATTGATGACAAGTGCAGATCAAGGTGCAATTAATTTATAAAATATTACATAGAATGAAATAAATAATAAAAGTCATTTAGAAAACTAATGATTTTTATCGTATAGAAATTGAAGGTGAGACGGAAGAACGTCCACAGGAAACGGACGATGAAGGTATTGAGCGGGACTCCAGTGATGCTGATGTAGATGAATTTTTGTCACAAAAAAGTAACGATATGTATGAAGAAAGATCAACGACATATTCCCTAAAAAATGTGATGCAAGTAAGTGTAGCAAACAAATGCCCTTTTCTATATTTTGTACACACACACGCGCGCGCGCGCGCACACACACACACACACACACAAACACACACAGAGTGATATAACAAATTTTTTTACTTTTTAATAATTCCCTTCTTTTTCAAGTATCTACATTTTTTGTATCACTCTGTACATTTTTGCTTCATTCATAAGTAATTATATAAATTTGTGTATATAGTTATGTACCAGGCATATGCAAACTTCCATTGAGTCTGCTGAAGTTCATTATAAGGCAGTAATACGGGCATTTGTAACAGAGGCTCTGGAATTGTCACAATTTTTGGATACAGTAGCAGCTGACAAATTACAAGCTAGTCAAAGAGAAGGTGCTAACAATGATGGCAATAAGCAAAGCTCGATGTCCGTTCAGAACCTTGATACGTTAGATTTCATTGATTGGGTAAGATTTCAATGGACCAATTGTGGAAAATACATGATTCGTGCTATGGGTTTATATAAATAAGATAACACCACTTTCCTATTTTAACAAATTGCGATAGAGTGTTTGAAGATTACAGATACGAATTTCATGTGTTAAAAAACAATCGTTAAAATTACAGTTTAAAAACACTCTATATCAGGTTATTTTATTATAAATCGTTCATATTAAACTGCTTTAATATTTTTTCATGCTGAAAAAGTAGGTAAATTTAGAAAAAAATTAAATAATAAAAATAGTCATTTAAATTGTCGAGTCGTGGAACTGTATACTCCGAGTACGTGCTGTATTTCGTGTAAAATGGAATAACTAACATTGCCATGTCGCATAAAGTCATTTGTCATTTTGCAGAGATAAGATATTTGAGATTTATTGACTTGACTCTCTACCGTTATAGACTGACATTAGGATTTGGAGGGCTATACAAGTATGTCATTGTTAATAATGTTTGCGCATGTGAAAGTGATGTGTTAGACTATAGGCGTAACCAATTATCAAGCATGCAGCATGATTAGTTTCGTAATTATCAGCACTATTTTTAAACATTGATTTCTATAGTCCTATAGAAGAATCATCTCTCACTATATTTTAAAATGCATGCATTCGATTTAATTTCAGTTTAAATCCGTGCGGAATATATTTAATTTTGATTTGTATAATCTATTTGACAAGAAAGCTAAATTTTAAGCGACTTTTTACATAGTTTGTGTAACATAAGTAGTATTTATAGTATTTAATATATTTATCAATACAAGTAATAAATACGTACAAGTAGTGCAATAAGATTTATAAAAGTTGTTCATTTAATGTCCGTCTAATTTATATACATGTTTTTTCTTTTTTACAAATTTGAATTGCAATTTTAAGATCAGAACAATTCAAAGAACTATTTTAATAGGCAAGATTTTGGGTACAAGTTATCCAAGAATTACGGAAAGGCGTGAAATTGAAAAAAGTAGAAGCCAATTTGGGTTCAAAGAACACTGTTCGTGGACGCGGAAGAGGAGCAGAATTTGAATTAACACCGTATGAAATTTTAATGGATGATATTCGGAAAAGGAGATATCATCTAAGGAAAACACCATCACCAACGCCACATTTGCGAAAAGATGCACACGCTGTCATTCTTGAATTTATTCGGAGCAGACCACCTCTTAAAAAGGTAACATTTTATCAGAGAAAATGTTTCATTCAGATTTTATCGATGAAACTTCAATAAAAGAACTGTTTGTAAAAATTGCAGTTTTTGAAAGTTTCAGTAAATATTAGAGACGTAATTTTATGCAGGCATCTGAGAGACAACTGCCACCTCTGCAGAAGGAATGGACTCTTCGGGAATTACTTATGGAAAGCATAAAGAAACCACCAAATTTAAGATCGTCACGCAACAGATACGTTCCTAAGACCGAAAGAATATCCCCACAAAGTGGTAAGTTATATTCCATATTTACATGCACAAAAATAATTTTTTGCATGTCATACTGCTTTATAAAATATATCTTCTTTGTTTGTGTACACCTATTTAATAAATTCATGAAAACTAACGCATTCCGCTCATATTTTGCACACCAATAATTGTGACATTCCATATGCATCAATCTTATTTATTACTGATTTGTGTGGTACCTCAATAAATCTTTCTTCGCTAAATATGTAAAATAAATATATTAAAATTTCGAAATGGTGATATATCTTTTTGGGAATGATGGTTAAATGTATATAAGGACCATAATATGTAAGCTGCACATTTATTTTACTCTCTCCCCTTCATTAATTTTTAAACAGAATTTTTGACTGTATCGTTTGTATTCTTGATAGATTTTATACATAACTAATTTTCGAATTAAATGACTTTCAAATACGTGGAAAAGCATGCATAAAGAGCTATATTTTCATATCGGTTGCATCAATACGGTTGCATCTGAATACCTCGAACTTTATGGATAACCGTATGTATATACAGTCATGCGTTGCACACGTGCGATTGCATTTTTATAAAAATATATTTAACTAAGAGTACACATGCGCAGGAAGTGCGCGCGAGCGCAGTACCTATACAGGGTCACACATCTTTTCACCCTTAATATACTCTTGAGAGTAGAGCTTGGCAATTGCAACGCAGTGCGGCCAGGACAGTGGTATATGTGTCTTAATTTTTTTTCAATAATAATAACAATAACAATAATAATAATAATAATAATAGCAACAATAATGATAATCATTTAATGCTCGTATCCCAAGTTTTTATTATTAAATACCATCTAAATTAACCATTGGCTATTCTGTAGTAATGAAATCAGTTTAAAATTTCTTCCAGTGCAACGAGAAATTTCTTTGAGCAACGAGATACAAAAGTATTGGGGAAAAAATCATTTTCAAGTTTCGTCATTATATACCGAGGATGGTACGCGTTATGACTAATTTTTTATCGAAATGGAAGAGGGTCGATTCGTATGAATCATGATTCGCGACGGTAGGTCGTCTTAAAGTATCGCAAGCCCCGGACTGCTCGCGATCAATAACCGAAAGCGCGCAAAGGGCGAAAGCTGACGTCGCCTGAAACGTCATCGCGTAACGCGCCCGCTAAACCTCCAGTTGATTTCTCGCGTGTTACATTCTCGTTTCGTTGCTTTCGTTCATTAGCCTCACGTTTATTCGTATTTCTTTGTTTTCTCTTCTGTCGTGCGCGTTTTGGGGGTAGCTGCAGCTGAAGCGTGAAATTCAATCGGGTTGCGTTTAAACGTGTACGCATAAGTCAAGTGCACCGAAAGGAGGATAGGCACACTAACGAGCACGTGTGCTTAATGTACAGTCCCTACCATCGGATCTGCAAACATCACGGTGGGCCAAGGATTCGAGAGGATGGAAAAAATGAACAGATGAACGTGGAGAACAGCTTGGACGCTGGTAATCGAACATTTCTGATTGTTTTTCAACGAAGAGGAACAATGGATTAGTCACTTTAATCGGAACGTATAAAGTTGATAAACGTCTTGATTCGCAGGCTGTGAGATCGTCGAATCGACCAGAAAGATTGTAAAAGGATCAACAGAACTAGTGACTTCCGGTTGGACGTCGTGGTCGTCGCAAGTAGAGTTATTGTAAAGAATTATGTTGACACAGAGTATGTTCGGTTTAAGAATGAATAAGCGCTTGATTACTAAACTGATAGTTTGTATAAATAGCTTAAAATCATTAATTACTTGCAAGTAATGAATACTTTCATAAAGTACGGAAAATAATTGTTGATGGCGAAACGTTAATAACTAATTGTATGATTATCTCTGTATCACGCATCAGAAAAATTGAAATGACGAAAGTTAAATCGGACATACTGCATATACTAGCAGAAGAGAAAAGAGTAAATATCGAAAAGAGGAATAATGTTACCGACCGTAGGCGGTGAGTCCCGCATGATAGTCCTGGGTGAAGTTCCACCGTCACAACCAGAGCAGGAACATGAACCCGCGCAGGATGTGGCGGCACAGTGGTTGCAGGCAGAGAATCAGGCCAATGCAGTCTCGACTACAGTTGGCTCCGTTACGACCAACGCACCGACTACCGCGAGTCGGAACAGATCAAACGTACCACCGGTACCGCAACCGAGGCAAAGAATCAGCAAGCCGGATATTAGGGTACCGGGAAACAGGAATCGTAAGTCGCGTAGAAGGCGCATTACGGTCGCAGGTAATCATACCATTCATCTTTTTTTGGCCGACACAAAGGATAACGTGTAGAAATGTATTTGGGGCCACAAATATTATAATCTGATTATATTACGAATAATGCAACAATTATTTTCTTAAAATAGTTTTCCGAATTATTACCCTGATTATATCGTGTATAATAATGATCTGAAATATAGTAGTTAAATTTTATAATAAATACTGATTTCACTTTTATTAAATTATAGGAGCATTACTTATTTATGATATTGAAAAATTTACAAGAGTTTTTTTTATAAACTTTTTTATGTAATTTTAATGATTGTATTTGATCTTATGCGTCCTCTCAGGAAGCAGTTATGTATGTATTTAGGATTTACTGAGGTACCACAACTTTGTGAATATTTGACCTTTCTTGTAAAATTTCACATTCACGTGTCATGTCCATTGGTCATCAACATATACGTCCCTGTGCTTTCACAGCATTAATGATTAATATATATTGTGAGTCTGTTTCTATGAATAATATTTTTTAGATCATATCCAAAGTATCACTGATGTGAAGGATAATGAACCACCTATAATACCGAAACCTCCTCGGAGGGATTTAGACAGCATTAATTCTACAACAAGTAGAAGAAAAGTAATACCCGTAGATTTTGATTTGAAGGTAGATTATTATAATTGTTATATCTTGTTACATTTAACTTTTTGTATCTAAATTAATGTATATTTTAATCAATAGCTCGACGCGGAAGATGAAGAGGATGACGAAGATTACAACGATGAATTTGCAGTAACAAGGTTTGAAGAAGAGGATGAAGCATCAAACTACTGGCAGTTGAAAGAGGATTACACATTCATAAACAGTGGTAATGCAAGGAGTAGACATAAAGTTCAAAGGGATGACGACGAAGCAGGTTCTGCAAATCCTTGGCGAAGAACTGGTGGACTGCGTTTGACGAGAAATGAGTATCACCGATTTTGTGATACACAACTTGAATGTAATTATTAAATTATTTCAGAAGTATTTTGTTGACATTGGAAAATATATTTTCAAAATTTATTCTTTTCAGCTTATGATCTTGCAACACAGTGTCCATCTAGAAGAGCATCTGCTCGAAAACACGCAGCGAGGCGTAGTATAGCTCTTACAGCATTAACTGGTACTACTTCTCTTCCTCATTCGAGGCCACAGAGTCGTCAATATACAGGTGCAACTGAATCGTCGTTGAGTCAAGGTCCGAGTCCTAATGTCAGCGTAAATCCTAGTCCAAGTTTGAGTCCTCAACCAAGAGCAAGGCAACCGCGACGTTCGCAAATTATCGCCGAAGGTACGAAAGATAATGAAGATCAAAGTGAAGACTGGCAAGATGATAAAGGACAGGTATTATATCATAGAAATCAGTTTATTGTTAAAAATTTATAAAAACGAAAGAAACGAGTGTTTATATAAAATACTTCTAGAATTTTAAATCGTTTAATAACAAGAAAATATTTTTTCCCATAGAAACCTACATTAGGTGATATGTTCCTGGATGAAAGACTTTCTCTAACCTTAGAAGAGATTGTGCATATTCGTAGTGTTCTAACTAAAGCAGAATTGGAATCTCTGCCTGTAGAAGGGCGCGTAAAGGAAGATGTAGAAAAAAGACGCGTTTGTTTTCTTTGTTTAAAAACGAGGTTTGGATTGTTAGGACCTTGGGGGCAACGTTGTCGTCTATGCGAAAGGACTGTATGTGTAAAATGTTACTCCAAAGTAAGAAATTTTTGTTAATTTACTCGTACTTGTTTTCTGTATCTTTCTATTGAAATACTATTCGTATTTTAGATGCGAATTCCAACAGAACATTTTGCCCATGTTCCGGTAGTTTTACTATCTCCTGGTCTTCTTCTATCTCCATCATCCTCAGAACCAGATACTAGCAAAAGTTCGTGGCTGAGAGGCAACGGAGCAGCTGGATCTGCACCGGCATCACCCGCCTCTAGACGTAAGGATTCGTCGTTGAAAAGCGTAACGCCTTCATCCACGCCTACTACAACACCTGTTTTGATACTTACACCGACTTCCACACCGCCTTCTCATGTTCGTCGTGAAACAGAGAATCAAGAAAAAAGGTTCTCTTCATTTAATTATTATATTACTAATTTTATTTACTATTTATTCTGTAAAAATCTTTATTCTTTATATAGCAAGAGCTAGAAATAACTTTCATTGATAATTTTTTAGTTTCTATAACAAAATATAATTACAGGAGTTATAAAGGCAGTGGCAGTCCAGCTAATGTGCCATCACCGAAGGCATTCTCCAGTTTCACTAATCAAAGCTCGGAACAACGATTGGCCGCGGAAAGATTGCGTGGTGTTTCAATGGTAGTCTGTCATGATTGTCGTATTATGGTGATACAGATAATTAAGAGTTCAAGAACAACACGGGCTACAATACGTAATAATGTCATTTCACGACTTACTTTAAACCTTTCGCCAGCCTACGTTTGAATCCCCCCCCCAAAAAAGAAAGAAAAGTTCCATGCACGAGATTTTTGTTGGATAAAATGGTGCATCTCGTTTTCAATTCTACTAATGAGTAACATACTAATTATGCTAATAAGTGAGGCACGTAGATTAGATTTCTCTTCTTCGTCCGGTGTCTTGTGCTCCTTGTGCCATTACTCTCTTATGAATAATTGTGAGTATCTTTGAAAGAACGTACGTATTATACAAGATTAATTGTTGGTTCTGAAATCGAATATATGACAGTAACAAGGATTACATTATAATCTTTATTTAATTTTTTTCTGAAACTGAGTTCTTTCTAAATAAGTTTGTTAATATTTTCTATGCAACTTATATATAGAATAATATCTGTTTTAAAAAAATACTTCTAACATGATTAGAAATTTCATTTACAAATTTTTCTATGTACAAGAAAAGTTAGGCCTATAATATATTTTAGGGTGGATAATGGAATTTGAAGGAAGAATTTAGTACGAAATTGGCACACAGTGGCATTTAATATAGTCTACGTACCTACATTCAGGCTTACATCTAAGTAGATTGTTAATGCATGCAAATTTGAAAATGATATGATTAGAGCCAAGTATTTAATTACAATGGCTAAGGTTTCATTTGGTTCTCAACGACGGTGAACTATTTTCGCTTCCCATTTCAATAATTATTACTAATAATAACTGTACTAATAAAAAATAACAAGCTATCATGCTATTGCATTGTCAGTGCGCACTATGTGTATTCTCAGTTCATACAAACTGAGAATTCTTGTTTGACCCGATAAGTTATCTCGGGATTTTGAAAATGTGTACATATATGTTCCTTTGCTCCCATATTGTTGTGAATACTAAATCTAAAAATAATATTGCATTTAGCGTAAAATTTAGTTGAAGAAAAAAAATTATAAATGAAAATCAACAAAGAAAAAGTAAAAATGTTGAGACATTAAATGTAATCTACATATATGTGGCAAAATATTGTTTTTGCGCAATAGCGTGTTATTATACATTTTAATTCATTATACTGTGCGATAGTTTCAATTATGTAACTACTAATTCGAATCACCAAAAAATTCTGATTTTCTTCGATTGTATAGTTTGCTAACATATTCATGTAACATAGCTTTTGCGCAATTTTAGATTTCATATTCTATATAACAATGATAATTGTGTTCGAAATTACTAATATCCATACCTTTGTTAATGATCTAATTAAGGCGAGAGGTACGCATACATAAGCACACACATATTATAAACTAGCGAGAAAATCAAATACTCTGATAACCCCAAAGGAAAAGAATGTTATTTTTTTGCGTCCGCGTGACATCAGTTTATTTTAAGAGAATATATTTAATTTTTAAAGCGAGTCAAAGTCGGATGCACAATTGTACTATAAGTCCGTTTTAATGCAATTCATTAATTGAAATCCTTTTGTATGTTTGTGATACTAATTTATTATTTAATTTATTGTTTTCTATGTCTACTATTTATTATATTTATTTAATTCTGCGGATTAATTAGTAGACGTGTTTCTTTATAATTGTACATATAATTATATACATATATGTTATGCAATTTATATGAACATGTAGTGCAATTTTCATATTTTGTTGCATGTTATTTTATGTGGAAATATTTTTTATTTATATTGTTGTTGGTATCAGAAACTGAAATTATTTTCGTTTCTGTTCGTGTTTTACTTTTATGTGGAATAATTATATTATTAAACGAATTAATAAGCGGAGATGAAAATGAAATTTAAAAAAAGAGAAAAAAAAAGAAGAAAATGGTGGCTCCTGTTACGGTCACGTTTATAGAAAATTAGTACAATGAAGTGGCTGTTTGTTTGCACAGGTTAAAAGTGTATTGTTAATGAGGAAATGTACAAACATAAACCGATGATGGTTCATAGTACAAACGAAGAATGCGAATTGCACTATGATGATTAGTATGCTGGCATTACGCCTGGTACCGAATTGTATACATAAAACAGCGTGGTTATAAATTTGTTGGTACATGTAAAGTGCATTGGTGAATTTAACACAAGAATGAATTGGTTTATTTAAGGATAAAGTTTATTTATTTTTTTAGTTACACAAGTAGATTTTCCAATAATTTCGAAGCAAAAATCAAAAGAAATATACTTCACATAGTACCTTAGAAGGCAATGTACAACAGATTTTTTAAAAATCATTAACACAAAAAGCACCACGATTCTTTATAAAAGATGTGAACATGAAATTCTATTTGTAGAAAATTATTACAATAAAATTAAGCTGAAAAACTGCTAAATAACAGAGTCACAGTGGCATGACATAAGATATAAGAGCATTTACGTGATGGTAATTGAAGAAGATCGTTTATTATATTAATTTATCGTTTTTTATGTACTATGTATATGTATACCCATAAATAATTAGAAATCTTGTTTTTATGATGAAAATGACCAAAATACATTCTATTCCAATTCATTACTTAAAATGTTGTATCTTTAAACAAAAGCATCTCTCTTAGTCTCTATTTTTATACTAAGATGCCTCTATTTATATAAATTATATTTTATTGAAATATAATTTACGTATAACAATATTTAACGAGTATAGTTTTTTAAAAATATTTTTATTCGTATTTATTTTTTATTTATGATATATATTAATTAATATTAAAATATAATTAACAAATTACGATCTAATTTTTTAAAAAT